TGATAATTCAAATTCACTGAAAATCACTGCTTGAGTCTTATTCTAAGTGTTCTATAGAAAGACAAAGCTATTAGTACAAAGCTATTAGTATCTTGGAACATGAGATGAAGATACACTGAGTCACAATTGAAGGTTGTTTGTATTTGTTTATTTGTTTCTTGGATGGGTGGGTGGCAGAATTCCAAACCCACAACATAATTTGGAAGTCATGCATTTTCCCATTGAATATCTATTCTCTCACTGGAGTCAATTTACATGCTAGGAGCAGATATTATTGTTGATTCCCAAAGTTTGTCAGCCACTTCTACTATAAGTTGGCCACGTTGAAGAGGTGAGAAGTTTCTTTTTCTAAACATCACATAGTTTACATGCAGAGTGTGCCTGTGACTTTGGTTTTTTTGATGGTTGCGTGTTCCAGATGCATCCTCAATCTGGCATCAATTTCTTACACGTAGTGTGTTGCCTCTTCTAATTTAGGATTGATATCATGTCTTCAAAATCTCTGCTGAAAGAAAACTCCCAATATCTAGAGTATTTTCTCTGAGTGATAAGTTATTTAATTACCTGTGAAAATGAAAGATAAAGAGTATTGCTGTTTCACAGGTTATGAAATACATATATGGTGATAATTTCTAGCATGTTTCACTTTTTAATCCCAACAAACTCCTCTGTTTTCTTCTAAGTTGATAAAAGCAGTTATATTTGTTTATATTAGTTTAAATACAATAATTGTGGAATACAGATTGATTCTTTAATTGGTTCATTAAAGATCCACAAAGTATCATGTTTTCAATCTATTCAGATACACCAAGTTTGGACATCAAATTTTTCCTTACAATTCATGGTAAACCAAGTTAGTAGTAACAATGAACACTTTTTTATTTTCCCATCTCTGGTTTTAATATTAAAGTTTATTAAATTACAATCTATTTGGCTTCTACAGAACTCTGGTGACAGTAAAGAAGGAGGACATCAATTAAATATGAAATATCAAAACAAATGAATGAATAAAATATCTAACATTCACATAAACTACCAAAAGCCACTCCTCAGAAGCGAAATGCCATGAAATCCATTAAGAACTCGTTAATATACTAACATTTGGAACAGTAATACAGTGAATGTTAAACTCAAGTTACATAAAAATAAAGAGGAAAACTTATATATTACATAATCCCACTGACTACTTGATAAAAATCAATATAATAAAATATTATATTGGCAACAAGTCACCAATGAGATCTTGACTTGTTAAAGGACAATGAAATGTATGTGCACATGCTATAATCACATGCTGCAGATTTTTAATTCATATATATTAGTATTTCATAAAATCTGTGATTACTACTATATTTCCAAAGAGGTAAAAGAATATATCGAGATGAAATGAAAGATCCCCATGAAAATGGTCAGAGTTGATACTTTAGTGCCAACAAAGTCTTAAACGAAATTGACTATGTTAAGCCCCGTAAAAGCTGAATTTCCTAAGCATTGCTCCTGCTCTTTATGAATAAGCAATGTACTTTCAAATGACTTACTATGATGAATGTCTTGTTTGACCATTTTTGATATATCTCAAAAGAAAAGCATATGATAGAGGATGTTAGTGTATGCACTAATTAATGACATTTCCTTTAGTGACTTCTTTTTAGACATAAAATTTTAACTGTATAAGTACATGTTAGAATCTGAATTATTACTGAAGATAGTTTTACTAATTGCAGTAATAAATAGGGATTTTATTGGGTAAGAATGTGTCAACTTTGGAAATCTCTCTCCTTTGCTGCTTTGGACCTGGAGAAGACTTCTGCAGCGTTTCAGAGAAGCTACAGCTGATTTTGATGCGATGTGAAAGAAATACATGAAGAGTAACAAGAGTTGTAAAAGTCATAAATGCCACATAAAATGAAGTCATCAATGAGTAAAAAATGATTGGGGTTTTAGATTTGCAATTTTCCTTCTTAAATGCCCTTACTGATTTATTAAATACTGTTAACCCTGTATTTGGCAAATGGTAAAGAAATTATCACTTGTGTTCTCTCACTTGTAATAAAACAGATTAACTTGCTGTGAAAGTTTAACTAGGCTGAGACACAACAGTAGCCACCTAATGAACCAAAGCACATTTCAATTAAGTAGCTAAATAGATGCATACTGATTACAGGCTGACAAATGGACCTGTTTACTTGCAAAGAAGACAGTGTTCATAGAACTAAATTATTTTAGGAAAAACTAAGCATTCGGTTCCACACAATTTTTTAAAAAGTATACCCAATTCTAAATTAAAATAAAACCCTTTACTCATTTAACATGGTTTACATGATGAAAAAGTCTGACTTCTGGGCTGCGTTAGGAGAATACTAACAATGAACTGAACCTTGATTAAATTTAGAAAATATAAGCTACAAAAATCTTAAAGCAGACATATTGCTTCATCCAAAATGTTACTGTCGCTCTTAATATTAACTCACTAAATCATGTTTTCAAAGATAATTTATTGTTTTACGTAATATGCAATTAAATAAAGGCACCTGCGAACCCATGTTTATTGCAGCATTATTCCCAACAGCTAAGTTATGAAAACAGCCAAGATGCCCCACTACCAACGAATGGATTAAGAAAATGTGGTATTTATACAAAATGGAATTTTATATAACCATAAAAAGAACAAAAAATTTTTGTTTGCAGGTAAAAGGTAGAACTGGAGATCATCAACTTAAATGAATTTAGCAAGGCTCAGAAGATCAAAAACCACACGTTTTCTCTCATATATGAATATAGACCTAATACAAATACAGTAATATCATGAAAAACACTAAGGGGAGGTCTCATACAAAAGGGGAGAGTAAAAGAAGGAAGTTAAGCAGGTGAATATGGTTGAAGTACTTTCTATACAAGAATGAATATAGAATTTTAAACTTGTTGAAGCCACCATGAAAAGAGACTAAGGTAAAAAGGAGAAAATAGACAAGATTAACTAATTCCAGTTACATGGAAATGTCACAAGGCAAGTCCTTGTATAGCTACTGTAAACAAACAAAAGTGTCATTTTTTTCTTTTACAAAATTAGAGAACAGGAGGGCAGAACAGGTCCTGCCAGCGGGAAAGGGGTTTGGTACCAGTGGAAGTGGGAAGGTGGCCAGGAAAGGATGTAGGTAGGAGGGTGAATATGGTGCAATACTGTGTATACATGTATGTAAATGGAAAAATGATATCTGTTGAAACTATTCCAGGATGGTGGGAGGGGTGTATTTGCACGGACACAAGGAATCTACAGAATATATTTATAGCCATGACCTTTTAGGTTGGATTTAATAACTGCTAATCTAGTCTCTTCAAAAATTTAAAGCATGTGTGATACAAAGATCATATAGCTCTTCTTGTACATCCGCATACCATCCTTCCAAAGTAAATGTAGAAGTTTTTGGGGAAAATGCTAACTCAATGCTAAGCAATAATGTGAAATATTTAAAAATGAACATAGTACATTGATGGCTATATTAATGTTCTAATACGGCTATAACAAATTACCACAAATTCCATGCCTTAAAACAATACAAATTTATTATCTATGAGGCATAGATCTCTTAAGGCTAAAAACAAGGTCCAGACAAACCTGTGTTCCTTTCTGTAGCTTCCAGAGAAGAATGTTTCCTTGTCTTTTCCAGTTTCTAGAGGCCACTCATATTTCTTGGCTCCTAGACACCTTCCTTTGCTCTCAAATTCAGATATATTGCACCATTGTTAGCCTCCATTCTTCTGCCTCTGTCTTCCACCTTTTAAGAACACTTGTATTCAGATTGGGTGCATTAGAACAATCCAGTATTATCTCCATATCTCAGTTTCTCAAAGATATCTGCAAAGTCCCTTTAGCCAGGTAGCATGTTCGAAGACTCTGGCAATTAAGATGTGGACTGGACAGCTTTTGGGTGCAATGGCATTATTTCTGCCTCCTGAAATGACAGGCTTTGCAAAATATTAAGTAGTGCTAATGAAAGAATAACTTTTAACCCTCATGTTATTGCTTTTGCATTAAACAAACACATTTTCTCTTTAGGGTGTTTATAAATTTTGGGCTTCTCATGCAAAATAATGTGAAAATATACAAGCACCTATTTGATAAACTAATTCTTAATTTATGATAGTTGTAATAGTGAGATTGTAATTATAGATAATTAGAATATTTAATTTAAGGAATTCATTATGAATGAATTAAATATTTTATAAAGCAAACATCCTTTGTCTCAACATGTCTATCACTTAATCAATTTTATTACATAAATGGGCTAAACATTGCAATTTGGTTCTTTTATTGAACAAGCTAACTGAATGATTTGAATTTATTCAACAATTTGTGATGCATAAAAATATTGAATAACTTCAGAATTTCATAACTTTTTATAGTCACAAAAGTCTTGAGAGCCACAACACATAGTATAAAAGTATGTATAGCTATGAGTTCCTAAGTTCTGCTGAATTAAATGTATATCATTTCCATATTTTTTGCATGTGCAGAAAAACTGTACACTAGCAGATGCCACCATTTGTGAGTTTTTTTCCATGGCTCTCAAGTACTTACATTTGGGAGAGCTCCTTCGTAATTAGATAGTAGCATGACTCTTTAGGCATTGGTATGGACTTTACATTAGTCGAGAAGCTTATAATAGCCAATAACCTCCACTGCACATATATTTTTATAATCATTTATGAGTTTTTAAGAAAGGAAGTAGAGAATAACTTTTCTTGAACCTCCTTCATGTACTCAGCTTGTGTCTTGGCCCTTTTAGTTTCTTCATTTATTTAACTCATAATATCCCATTAATTTCACAAGAACCAAAAGTATGTTTTGCCTAATGATATAAATTTCAGATGAGGCACTGTACATGTGCACTCTTTCAGGATAAGTGAGAGCCCAACCTTTTAAATATTACAGACCCAACTATCATGAAAAACTTGGCACAAACACATGGTATCTCCTTTTGTGTTTCCTTTTGTGTCAGGAACGGATCCCAGAGAGTCCTTCTCCTGTTCCCTCTCTGGAAGAAAGTCATCGCCCTGGGAGCCAGACCTCCTCTCACCCCAGTAGCAGTGTATCCAGCTCTCCCTCTCAGATGGAACATCATTCGGAGAAAATGGGTGAGCATCTTGCCTGAACCAAATAATTGGAACATATTCTTTCAGGAAATTCCTCATGAGGCAATGGAGATAGGAGAAAGAGGCTCAAGGAGCTGACACTTTCTTACTATAAATGGCTTTTTGAAATAGCAATTTGTTTGTAGTACTGAGGTTGAACTCAGGGCAGGTACTTTACCACTTGAGACACACAGCCAACCCATTTTGCATTCGTTAATTATGAGATAGGCTCTTACTTTATGCCTGGGCTGCCATGAACGGCAATCATCCTATTTGTGCTTGAACATGTAGGTGGGATGACTGTCATCTGCTACCACACCCAGAGATTGATTGAGATGAGGTCTCATAAACTTTTTGCCTGAGATAGCCTCAAACCACAATCCTCCTGATCTCTGCTGTCCAATGAGCTAGGATTACAGACTTGAAGCACCCAGCATGGCCTATTTTTGTTTGTTTGCTTGCTTTTTTATGTTGAAGCAAATTGAAAACAAAAGAAAATGAAACAAAGTCAGAAATTTTTCTCTGCAATGACTTTCTTTACTATATCACTCTGTCTTATGGGAACAATACTATGAGATTTTTGGGTAGAGTATATGCTAGTTGGTATGTATTATCTAGTGTTATACAATACACTTGTAACATTCACAGCATTCTTTGCAATAATGAAAAGTAAAATATTTTTCAGGCAGTTGCTAATTTAAGAGCGATTAAAAGTGAATAAATATATTCTATGCCACAATCTCAATGATTTGATTTTAAAATATTATACATGATTTTTCCTACATTTTTAATTGTCTACAAAGTCTTATAGGCACTATTCTAGAAGGCAGACACTGGAATGTAGCCACAGGTCTAGTACTACCTATAACATATTGGGTATGCCATTTAACCATAATGAGTTCACTTGCCTATTTTATGGAAATAATTACCTCCCTGCCTGATGCATAGGATTACCTCACAATGTGTGAAAAAGCACTTCAGAAATTTGAGGTGCTTGGCAAATACAAAATGATAAACATTACTTTTCTCTGTGTACTTTATCTTGATTGCTTCTCTTCTGCTATCTGATCTTACTTGGGTATATAGAAGTAACCAGGTGCACTCAGCTACAACACATTATCATTTAGTATATAATGATTATGCATCAATTGAGCTAGGTAAAGTCTTCATTAATCTTCTGTATCTATAAAGTCTAATTTCCTATGTAACAATTTCTTTTAGGGAAAATGATTTCTGCTTGCCTTAGCACAATATCCCCATGGATGTCCATGGGGACATTTTGTGTACTCTACACTTTTATAGCTCATGACAGTGCTTGCTTTTATCCTCTCCAAAATAAAGTGTTTTGGGGGAGAAGAGGAAATTAATGGATTAGGGAGGGTGTTTTGCTATGGATTTGTGCTGGGGAAGGATACAGACAATTTACCCCTTGTGAAAATTTATCCAAGTCTCATTTAGCCTGTCAATATTATATATTCTGTATGGGCCTCTAGTTTCATAGTAAGCTCAGTGATTCCTAAATCGGGCTCGATATTATAAACTACTGTGGCACTTTTACAAACGTACAAGTGTATGGCCCAGGTCATACACTCAGAGTTTGATTCATTTGGTCTAGAATATATCCTGAGCAGCAATGCTTTGTTTTGATTTTCAGTCTTGCCTCAGGAGATTCTAATATGCACCCAGTGGTAAGAGTCATCAAGTTAGAGATTGAAGCTCATGACCCTTAAGGACTAAGTTTAATTCCTGGAAGACATGACGGAGATCTTTTAGCTTTACTCTTCTCTGTGAACTCAGACTACTTGGTTGTTAACAATCTTTTGTGCAGCTGATTCAAGAGAGTCTAGGTAAAATAAAAGGTAGATGATCATTAAGGAATCAGAGACTAAAGTACAAATTATTCTGTTGTTCTGTCGGGGTAATCCTTGTATTGATAATGGTAGGGAGAGGGGAAGGATATATATATATATATATATATATATATATATATATATATAGTGTATTTATACATATATATGCCCTCTGAGGTACATGCACAAGGGAGGATGTACCCCATCTATTTATCTATATCTTTTTTCTCTCTCTCTCTTTCTCTTTCTCTCTCTCTGTCTCTGTCTCTCTGTCTCTCTAGAGAAAAAGAGTCATTTATTGAATACTGGCTAGAAGCAGTACATGTTTTATTTCCCTAAAAGCAGAGCACATAAGGAAATATATTTGTTGATAGTTACACTTAGAAATAAAATCAAACATTCCCAAACTAATATGATTTCCTGGAAAAATTATTGGCAATATAGTATATTACTAATTCTGCTGGCTTTCTATGCACATTCCAGAGTTGTCTAAGCCAGGTGTGGTACACACTCCTGTAATCCCAGCACTTGAGAGGCAGAGGCAGAAGGATCAAGAATTCAAGACCAGTCCTCAGAAAAAAGAAGTGACCATATCTTATTTAATATATATGTTTTTAAAAATTTTTTTATTCATATGTGCATACAATGTTTGGGTCATTTCTACCCCCTACCCCCACCGCCTCCCTCTCCCCACCACCCCCTTGCTACCCCACAGAAACTATTTTGCCCTTATCTCTAATTTTGTTGAAGAGATAGTATAAGCAATAATAGGAAGGAACAAGGGTTTTTGCTGGTTGAGATAAGGATAGCTATACAGGGAGTTGACTCGCATTGATTTCGTGTGCATGTGTGTTACCTTCTAAGTTAATTCTTCTTTTTTTTTTTTTCATTTTTCTTTTATTATTCATATGTGCATACAAGGCTTGGTTTATTTCTCCCCCCTGCCCCACCCCCTCCCTTACCACCCACTCCACCCCTCCCGCTCCCCCCCTCAATACCCAGCAGAAACTATTTTGCCCTTATCTCTAATTTTGTTGTAGAGAGAGTATAAGCAATAATAGGAAGGAACAAGGGTTTTTGCTTAATTCTTCTTGAACTAACCTTTTCTCTAGTTCCTGGTCCCCTTCTCCTATTGGCCTCAGTTGCTTTTAAGGTATCTGCTTTAGTTTCTCTGCATTGAGGGCAACAAATGCTAGCTAATTTTTTAGGTGTCTTACCTATCCTCACACCTCCCTTGTGTGGGCTCACTTTTATCTTGTGATCAAAGTCCAATCCCCTTGTTGTGTTTGCCCTTGATCTAATGTCCGCATATGAGGGAGAACGTACAATTTTTGGTCTTTTGGGCCAGACTAACCTCACTCAGAATGATGTTCTCCAATTCCATCCATTTCGTTCTTCTTCATAGCTGCATAAAATTCCATTAAATACCACATTTTTTAGATCCATTCGTCAGTAGTGGGGCATCTTGGCTGTTTCCATAACTTGGCTACTGTGAATAGTGCTGCAATAAACATGGGTGTGCAGGTGCCTCTGGAGTAACCTGTGCCACATTCTTTTGAGTATATCCCCAAGAGTGGTATTGCTGGATCAAATGGTAGATCAATGTTTAGCTTTTTAAGTTGCCTCCAAATTTTTTTCCAGAGTGGTTGTACTAGTTTACATTCCCACCACAATATATATGTTTTAATAAAAATATGAATACAGAGAATGAAAAGCATGCTCCAGTGGCGCAATCGGTTAGCGTGCGGTACTTATACAGCAGAGAATGAAATGACATTATAAAAATTAGAATAGAAAAATTACTTTTTCCTCTTTTAATGGAGAACAAGAAGGCAGAACAGGACCTACCTGGGGGATTGGTACCAGTGGGAAGGGATAGGATGTGGGAAGATGATGCAGGAGGGTGAATATGGTGCAAATATTGTGTACACATGTGTATAAATGGAAAAATGAAACCTATTGAAACTATTCCAGGAATAGGCAGTTGAAAGATAAAGGAGAATGATGGGTGGGGTAAATTCAACTATGATACATTGTAAGAACTTTCATAAATGTCATAATGTACCCCCAGTACAACAATAATAATAAAAAAATTTTTTAAAGAATTACAATAATTACCAAAAAGCTATACTTTAATCTATTATTCTTTGTATATATGATATTAGCAAAATCTCCATGGTGACTTTAGTGCATTATTATTTTAAACTCATTATCAATGAAGTGATAACCTCTCTTCAGAAGCATTTTGGGAACTATGTTATTAATTATGGAGGTGAATGTTAATTTGTACATGGATTTTAAAAAGTGGAAATATTTTAAATATTTTAAAGACAACCTATTGGTAAATATGTAAGTACTATATACTAATTATACTTAAAATTTCACATTATTAATCATGTTGTTTTTAAAATTGTATGACTATCAGCAAATATCTTACTGCTATAGAGGTAGAAGTATATGAAATTCATGTTGTTACTGAAGAATATTAGCCATGTATGTGATACTTTTCTGCCTTTCTTGTGGGTATGTTGCATGGAAAATTATACAATTACATCTTTATTTATAGTTATGATGCCCAAAAACAGAAAGGAAGTTATCGTTGATCAGGATTGTAGACCAACCATCAAAAAGTTCCAAAGAGATAATAAAGGTAAAATGATTTTTGCTTATTTGATGTACATATGAAGATCAGATACTAACTCAATTAACATCTTAGTATTGCTTATTGCACCTATGTTTCCCCAAGTCAGAATAGATTCATACTTGATTTGGATAATTTCCTTTAGTAGTAAAGAGATGATGCTCACCTGAAGCTTGCTTACTTGGTGTTATAAATTGCATATCAACCTGTAATTTGTTTGTGCATATGGTTGAATACTTCAGCTTATGCCCTTTTATTATGTCTATTCAGGTACATATGATTCTGAATTATGTGTGTACTTTATTAACTATGTTGAGATGACTCACCGTTTGATACTTATTTATAAAAACTGAGTGTCATGGAAGAGAGCTGTTCCCCTCAACCATCAAAAGCAATTGTAAAAGTATATGGTAATTTAGACATTTCAAATGAAACCTTATTAAATTAATCCATTAACTATTTACCTGTGTACAGATAGATTATCACCTCCGACAGGCTTGTGTTACATGTAACATGTGTTACTTCTGCACAGTATACAGTCTGGTTTTAGAGGGTTTGTTTAAAGTAGATAGGAAAATAACAATTTCAAAGCAATACTCTCCTGAAATGAAAACTGAGCACAATTTTGTTTAAAAGGCTGAAAAGGTAAGAGAAAAGGAAAATATATAATCATGGTGTAATCTATGAACCATTGCTGTTACCACAGGTTAGATAGTAGTTAACACATAATTTGTCAGAAATCAGATGGGGTGTACTTCACCAGAAGGTACATTTTTCTATCTCTACTAAAGATGCTCATAATACATAGGAAGAAGTTTCAATGAACTGAAGAGCTAAGGGAAAATATTTTCTTCTCTAGGCTGAACTTGCTTCATAATTACCTAGATGAGAATTTTAGCTGAAATTTGGAAGAGCATGATTTTAATTTCATTGATCCATGGTTGCTTTCCTTGCCAAATGTTTAGTTTTTTTCTTAGCCAGACACTGAAAGGCTATGCCCTCTGGGGCTCCAAGATGCAAATGATTGATTTCATAATGGTTGTCAGGTTGGAAGAATTCAGTTTCAGTATATTAAACTACCTAAACTCTAACACAGGTAATGAAATTTTAGTTATAGATGGAACTTCATCTATAACTGGCAACAATTTGTTCCTGAGACTTCTTTTCCACCAAGTCATGACAGTTTGAAGGACAGGGTGATAGTAAAGCTGTTTTTCTAGGAACATCGGAAGCTGTATATGGCATGCATGATTCCACTGGAACTGCAAACCCCATAAGTCAAAATGGCATTTAGGACTGGCCTGTGTGCTGCTGTACTCAAGTATACACTGCTACATCTTATGAACAATCAGCTTGAGCACTAGTGCAGATATATAGTGACTGATTTTCATAAAATACACAGTGGAATGTACTGGCATTTCTGAATCTCTTGCTGTGCAGTGGCACAGTTTACTCATTTCATTCAGATAGGTGGCTCACACATACTAATGAGGACATTAATAAACAAGAGTAGCCTATTAAACTGTACCACAGTTATAATGGAAAGTGTTCTTTTAAATGAGACTTTCTATGTCAAGTTCTACCGATTGTGATAGTAAGAAAAAATATATTTTCCTCAAATAGATCTTTGTTATTAAAAGGGTACAAGTTATAGTGGAGCTCTCAACATTTATTAAGTATGACAAGTAAGCAGTTTATGCAACTATGGCAAACATATGTTTTCACATCTGTTTTGAGTAATATCATCATGATTTTAAAGATGATTTATAGCTCTGGAAATTACAACATGCCAGCTTTGCTATTATGAAAAAAATTTCAGAAAATGAAGGAATACTACTAGAGTGTTCTTCATGTAGTCCACCCCTTTCTGTATCTTCCAAAATGGGGTGGCAGTTTAGTGTGAGGCATGTTTCAAATAATAATTTGCATTTTGCACTGAATTTGGCTTTTTACAAGGTAATATCCATTGACAGTGCATTCAAAATGACTTACTCGAGTTGCCATTTTTTTTGAATCATGTGTTTTGACTAAACTGACTGGACAGTCAAATCAAACCTTTGATTTTATCTTTCCACACACTCTGTAAATAAATTAACCAAATCAATTGCTTGTTATGACATTGTGTTACTTGTCTTTATCAGTCAACTCTGGCATTCTGTAGAGAAGTTGGTATTATCCACTCTAGTTTGCCTATGTGAAGGCAAAGACACAAAGTAAATTTTCTTCCCTTGGCAGCTACAAACTGCTAGAGGGAGTGAGCCATTGATATTTTACATTTGTATCATTTGCATGCATTGAAAAAATTTTATGTATGCACTATAAGCACACTGATGATCAAATTTGGTATTATATTTAAACAGTGGAGTAATAAATATATTTATCACAATCCCAAGACTTACCCTTTCAAATCAACCCACAAACTACAGATGAATAGCTAGCAGCTTTAACATTCTTTGATCAGAAGAGTCTGAAGTACATCTCATTTAGAATAAAAGTATTATCATATTTATGTTCATGCAAACAGGAACATATTTCAGCTTTGGAGTATGATTGGACAATATATTGGCACTAGAATAATGTAAATAGTCTCAGCTTGGCACACACCTGTAATCCAAAACCCAAGGCTGAGGCAGGAGGATCACGAGTTTCAAGGCAAGCCTGAGTCATATTGAGCTCCAAACCAGCCTGGTCTATACAGAGAGATACTATCTCAAAAAAAATAGTATAAATGTTCTCTGTTTAGTTAGTGTTTCTCTTTATTCCTGAGGTACCATTAGATACTGCACTAAATCTTGCTAATATAGTGACACTTTAAACTCTCCAGATGTTTGGAAATGACTATTGATGTTATTTAAAGAGGAAAATGTGTTTTCTGGACATTATGTTTTGATTCTATGAATTGAACCAAATAAAATTCTAACATCATTACAAATAATTTTTATGAGGAACTTAGATTATATAAAGTGAGAGTAAATGTATAATTTTGTACATTTTATGTTATTCTGTGGTTCTAAATTAAAATGAACAAAACCTATCTACTGTGGGTTTTTAAAATTACCTTCATTTAAAAATGTTTTATTTAGAAACAGTTGTGGGTTCACAGCATGTTACCAAAAGAAAATAGATGTCTTCTGCCCTTCACTCAGTTTCTCTCAATAGGACAATCTTTTATAACTGCGACATAATATAAAGCTCAGGAACCCTGCTTTAGTATGATCTATAGGCCTTACTCAGAATTCAAGTTTTGTAAGCATTGTCTGGTATGCATGTATCCTTCTATGTAATTATATAACATGTAAAGATTTGTGTAACTATGACCGTGATCAAAATATACATCATTCCATAAATGCTGGGGTAGATCTCCTGCTAGTCTTTGTCTCCTGCAGTTTCTCCCTTCCATGATCCCTAATTTTTAAAAACCATTAATCTGTAATCTATCTCTTTAATCTCACCATTCTCTTAATAATCTGTCCAAACTATTGTATATGTCATTTTTTCATTTTCTTGTTGAGTAGTATTCCATGGTATAGATGTACCACAGTACATCTCTATAACCATTTTTCCCCTGGAGGACATCTCTTGTTTCCAGTTTTGGTCTATTATTGGCAAAGCTTCTTTAATCATTTGTGTATATTTGTTGGTGTGGATGTAACTTCATTTCTCAAGGACAAATCCCAAAGAGTGAAATTTCGTGGTCATATGGTAATTGTATGTTTAGTATATTTTTTAATAAACTGAAAAATTATTTTCTCGTATAGCCACACTATTATGTATTCTCACCCACCAATATATGGGTATTCTAGTTTCTACATACCCTTGCTAGCATTTTGTGTTGTCATTATTTTATTTTTAGTTGTAGCTGTTTCCAAGGAATGTACAGTGATATCTTATCATTGTCCTAATTTGCATTTCTTGGATGGCTAGTGAAATTGAACCTCTTCTCCATATACAATCTTTGTTAAAATGTTTCTAATGACTTTTGCCCATTTTCTAGTTGGTTTGTTTTCTTATTGTTGAATTTTGAGAGATCTTTTCTTTTTACAGGATTTCCATGTGCAGCTTAGGCTGACCTTGAACTCATTATCCTTCTGCCTCAGCCTCCACAGTAGAGTGCGGGAATTACAGAAGTGTACCATTACAGCCTGCTGCTAGATTTTTTAATACATTTTAGATATGAGCCTTTGGTCAGATTATAAGATTTGAAAATGTTTCTCATGTGTACCTTGTTTGCTTTTATGAAGAGGAAAAGTTTTGAATTTTGAGGAAGTCCAATTTATATGTTTTATTCTTTTATGGTACTTTTGGTATCAAATATAAAACTTTTTCTCCTAGTCCTAGGTCCCAAAAATTGTCTCCTATGATTTTTACTGTAAGTTTTGAGTTTTATCTTTTGAATTTAAGACTATGATCTCAGAGTTTCTTTTTTTAATTTTTTGCTACTGAATCATTTGTTGGAAAGGGTATTTTTCCTCCATTGAGTTGCTTCTGTACCTTTGTGAAAAATCAGTAATCTGGATTTATGCAGGGCTATTTCTGGGTAATCTCTTGTGTTTACTTGTCCATTAACTGTTCCTCCTTCATCATTGCAATTTTGATTATTGAAACATCATAGTTTAGTATCAGTTATTCCTCCTATTTTATTCTTCTTTTCAAGACTGTTGTGGCAAAACTAGAGTGTGTACCTTTTTATATATTTTAGAACAAGGAAGTCTGCATGGAAGAAAATTCTTGCAGGGATTTTGATAAGAATTTTATTAAACCTATAGATTAATTTGGAGATAATACATACCTTTACTATTCTGTATGACAGTTCATGAACACAGTATGTCTTCATGTTTGTTTAGATTTTCATTGATTTCTCTCAACGAAAAGTTTGTTTTTTACATACATCTCCTGTTCAAGTTTTGTTAGAGGTATTCATAAAGACATTCAGTTTTTGAAGAGTTTCAAATATTATATTGTTTCCAAGTTTGGTTTTCCTCTTTCTTAGGATACAGAAATGTATGGTT